GGGCGGGGGTGGCTCCACCGCGGCAGCCATTCCGCTTCCTCCTCCCGCCGCCGCCGCCACTGCGTCCTGTCAGCGCCGGTTGCTAGGTGTGGTGCGTCGGGAGGGGGCCGGAGCCCGCGGTCGCTGGTGGGGGGCCCTGGGCGCCCGCCCCTGCCCCGGCCTGGCGCGGACGCCCGGGCGCTGCGGACTGAGGTCCAGAGTGCACCCGCGGGCCGCGCCCAGCGCCCCAGGGCCGGGCTGCCCCGGAGGCCCGTGCGGCTGCGTCCGCGGGAGAGCAGCCTCCGGGGGCCCGCGGCCCGGCATTTAAATGCACCCCAGCTCTGCGATTTGCCTTTCAAATGGTGCTAGGCCCGAGGTGCGCCGGCTGCGCCCGGGATCGGCGTCGGCGGCCTGCGCAGTGCCCGGGGCGTGGGGGCCGCGGTGGCCGCGGGGGAGGGGGCGCCTTGCCGGGCGTCTGCTTTCCCTTTCTGCCCAGGACCCCATGGGTTTTTCAACAAGTCGTTTAATTCTCAGAAGTCCTTGCACACATTTACACACTCCTATCCGAAAGCTCCTGCGAGGGGTGGTGGGTCGGGTTCATCTGGCTCAGGCGATCCAGCCACCTGCGGAAGGTGTGGCCGGCGCCCACGAGTTGTCTGGCTTGTGTAGTCTGGAAGGTGAAGGTGATGCCCCAGAGAGGCTGTCTAATCCAGAGAACCTGTAAATTGCCCCAGAAAGTCATTTCCAAGTGAATGCTGCGGATTCGGCCATGTGGATGCCGCTCACGTTTCTGCAAAGTTGAGAGAATAAATCACGACTGCTGTGTATTTATGCACGAATAAAACGAGGCTGAGCCTTCTGCTCCTTTGCTTAGTGTAAAGCTTTCTCTTTGCACACAGTGGGTGCTTGTTAAGCGTTGAATGCTAGTTTAGATTGGGATATGAGGGGGGGCATCCAGAATTGAAAATAATCATTGAAAATGCCTACAAAACTCTTTCAAAAGATAACCCTGATGAATAATTGACACGGTTTTGAAACTTACAAAGTTTTAAAACATCCGTGTAATAGCTTCTGCCATCTCCTATGATAAAGGTGTGACAGAAGAGCTAGGCAAGTTTTGGTTGTCTCAAAAGCAGGAGTTTAATGGAGTAACAAATTTGCTGATTCATATCATGATGGAGCAGTCATAGCTAAAGGTGCTTGAAGGGTAAATCAGATTTTTCGTGATGGGTAGTTTAAAACAATACTAAAACCCCAGTATTGCAAAGTGCCAGTAGAAATTTTGTTCAAGGTCCGTTCCTTACTTTGAATAATAAATAGAAAATAATAAATACAAATAACTAAGATAAATATATATTGTACAAATATATAAATAATATTTCCTGACCTAGGAAAGGCTGTCATTGCATATCGCATTCATTCTAGCTAACAGCTATTTCAGGGTAAACTATAATTAATGTAAGGTGAGTAATAATTTTCCCACATTGCTGGCCTACTTAATTAGCTAGTTAAAAGACAATATATTTATTATATTTTATATATAAAAGAAAATAATATTGAAATGTGTTAGAGTTATCCTTGAGGATTTAGTTTGTAATCAGATGATTTTAAATTATTAATGAATCACAAGAGCTTTTTAAGTTTGCAGAAATTGTCTTTAGTATTGTGCAAACATTTTTAAAGAGGGTTTAGGGGTCCATAAATTTTCTAAAACTCAACTTTTAAGTAATGGCCACCTCCAAAGGGCTAGTGTTTTTCTCAGTGAAAATATGAAAAATTAAGTTTATAACAATAGTTATGACCTAGGCACCATGTGTATCAAGGCTAAGAATGACTATACTTAGGAATTAGTTTGAAACTGGTAAACTTACAGACAGTAAATGTTAAAATAAACAAACACTTGGAATCCCAGGGTGAAGAGACCATCTTAAGCTATTGTATACCTTGGCTGAGGAGAGGCCCCTTACTTTCAAAGACCAGCTCCATATGCAGAAAGGAATAAGAAGAATAAAAATAACCTCATTCAAAAAGAATTTAAAAACCTGATTAGTAGGCAGTGTCATATAAATACACTTTTGATGAAGAGACATGAGTAGAAATATATCCGTCAAAGCATTTAGTGTAAGTTGTATTGTTAAATGGTGTCTATTGTTTGTAGTTCATTCTATAAATTTTTGGAGACAGGTAGGTGATTATTTTTAATGACACACTGAGTTTATGTCTAAAGTTATCAAGTGGCCACAATGGAAAGATGCATGAAAAGACTACTAAGAGATATATATTAATATTATCTCTATTTTTTTCAAGAAGCTTGTTATTTGGCAATCATAAGAGTGTTAGTGATATGCTTAGGCGACATTTCCACCTTGGGGACCTTTCTGAGTTATTACCACTTAACCACTAGTCAAAATCCTTAAGCAGCCATGAAATGAAGGTGTATGGAAATATGGTATGTTTCTTGCTTGACAGATTTTTCAAGGCCTTCAGTATTCAAGGACCTTAGTTTTCATTATAATTGTATTGTTTAGTTCAGGTTAATGAAGTGCATTGCATGTAGCTGTCTCTATTATACATGTGTGTTTAACTCTTGTTTTTAACCATTTTCCTGCACCCATAAGGAACAAGGATTTCGGGCTGTCGAGCCAAGGGAAGTGTGATTTTCACCATCCTTTGTTTTAGCTGTCTTCCTTCCTCTCGGAAAGGTGCTGCACCTGTGTTCCTGTTTTCCTCCTTGTTTGTCATCACTGGTCTAGTGCTGGAGCACCTGTCTCCGTTTACAGCCCAGAGCATCCCAGCTAAAACCCTCCCCACAACTTCAGTTGTCTAGAACAGGGGTCGGCAAACTTTTGAGACCGAAGAGCCAATCCTGTCCCTCACAACAATTTAAAAATTATTTGAGAGCCATAAAACAAATGAAATCACCATTATGTGAATAATATCCTTTAGAAATGTTATAAATGAGACAATGATAGTTTTATTTTCATTTTCAATTTTACTTCAGAGCCATACGTACGTACCCGAAGAGCCGCATGTGGCTTGCGAGCCGCAGTTTGCCAACCCTGGTCTAGAAATTCCACAGCCCTGCAACTGTGACGTGTTCCTGCATCCAGCCTCCTTGTCAGTTCATTCATAGCCTGGCTCTGTTTCTTGGAGAAGGGAAGAGCTGATCAGGATTTGTTTGCTTTTAACCTGTGAGTAGATACTTGAGTTTGTGGAAACACTCCTGACCTGCACATCCTAAACAGGTGAAGTTAAACTGGTAACTAGGAATCATAGAAACACCAAGGGAGCTAAATTTAGCACCGAAGGTCATGTCACAGACTCATGATTCCTGCTGCTCCATCCATGCATTCCAGTGTTGTGAAATCTTTTGGCTTTTGGTCTTAGAAAGACAACTATTTATTCATTCTCACCAGATTTGATGATTTGGTACGTTTGTAAAAGTGCCTCTGCGTTTTGAATTTGCTTATGTAATAATACACCTTGACCACCTGTTTTGTACTAGGCGCAGTTCTAGGCGCTTGCTATTTTTTGCTGAACAGAGATCCCAATCTTTGGGGAGTTTACGTGCTAGTGATGGGAGATAGACAATAAACAATCAGCATAAGAAGTAAATTATAGAGTAGGTTGGAAGGTAGTATGGAAAAAAGAAAGATTAGAGCAGGCTACAGTGGATTGGGAGAAAGTGTCGGAATGTTGAATTGGTCACTCAGGATAGGCCGCTGAGAAGCTGATAGGTGAACTAGAACCTTGACAGAAGTGAGGGAGTTAGCCACGAGGACATACAGGGAACATAGAGGTCCAGGCAGAGGAAACATGCTATGCAAAGGCCCCAAAGCAGGCCACATCTCTTAAACTGCAACACAGAATCTAACCCAGCTCAGTTACTCTTGTGATGGTGCTAAACTAGCAGGTCACTTTGAACTCTTCCCAGATGTGAGGAGCCTCTCTTTGCTGTTGTTGACTCGGGTTTTCCTGCAGTGGCCTCCTTAGGCATCTCTTAATAATAACTCCATCAGTATTATTGACTGATAGTGGCTTATCGTAGCTCTGACTTGGTGGTTTTGACTCTCGACGTCAGCAGGTTTCTTGTGAGTCTCTACTTGGTTTCTTTACCTCTAAAACCCATCTGAGCTGCTTCATTTCATAAGGTAGATTTGTAAACCACCTGACTAATAAAGATGAAAGTCTCTGGAAAGCAGAATAAGGCAGTTACTCTCAATAATGTAGAATTTAACTTCAATGATAATTTGGTAAACATTTGCATTATCTTCTCAAAGAAGCACCATGGCATACTAAATAGATGGGTATACAATATGCACTAGGTCCTTATCCCCACTTTATAGGTGAGTAAACTGAGGCATGGGGAGGTTACATAACTTGCCTAAGTTTCCATGGCTTGTAAGTATGAGCTGGAATTTGAATTTCAGGCAGGTACCCAGAGCTGGGCCTGTGCCAAATTGCCGAATAGATGAAGAACTAGATGGTACCATCCTTATTCCCTCTCCAGACACAATTAATCTGTGTTTCCTCCTTCAGAAAGTAACTCTCAACTCTTGAGATGAGGATCATCTGAGAGGCAGCATAGGGAACTCAGCTTACTTGGGTTAGAACAGGGCTTGGCAAACTGTGGCTCGTGAGCCACGTGCGGCTCTTTGGGGTACATTCCTTCTCAAAAGTTTGCTGACCCCTGGGTTAGAATATACACTGCTGTCACTTGCCAGCTGTGTGACTGGACAAATGGCTTAACCACACTGTGCCTCAGTTTCCTCCTCTGTGTAATGAGGACAATAACAGCTCCTTCCCTATAGAGTGGCTGACGAGAATTAAGTGAACTAATTAAGTGTCAAGTACCCATCTACCATATTAAATGATCCACATCATCCAATTTCTTGCCATTTTTGTGTATTACTAAATGAGTATGTTTGGAATTCTTCTATCAAAGTCTACATTAGAGGTTAACAGAATTTGAGCTGTGTCTACCTACTGGTGGTGCTGTTTGGGGCATTTTCAAACCGTGAAATCTTCGGGGCCTTCCCGGGAAAGATTGAGAATGGGAAACCCTTCAACAGCCCAGCGCTGGGCTTGCAGCCTCTGACCATTTCTCTTCTGTGCGGCCAGAGGTACTTTAGACACTGGCAAAGGCCTTTGCCGCTGTGGACTGGAAAGTGGTATCCAGGCCAGTGGCTTCAACATGGCCTTTCCTTGTGGCCTGTGTTTATTTAAAAATCCCAGCACTAAAAAGAGGCACTGTGCCTTGGGCCTGTGGGCACAATCCCACGAGGGCATTTCCTGTGGGGAGAAGGAATGACTGAGTGAATAAATGAATGAATGAAAGGCTTGTTACTGCCTGGGCTGCTCTCTCCCTGCTCCCTGTGGCTTGGCGGCAGGATGGGTGCCCTGTTACTCCCTCCCAGAGTTCACAAGAAGGTCCAGGTACAGAGCCAGGGGGAGTTTTAAGCGCGTGCGTGGGCATATGCACACGTTTGTGCACTCCCTTCACACATGGTGGGGGAGGGGGGCGTGCGGGGAGATGGACCCTAAATCTAAAACTTCATGACATTTTCCAAAACACCATCTTCAGTAGTGTCTCCTTTTGCCCACTTCTCACCTGTAAACAGTCAATTCACCCTTTATGCAACACTGCAGGTGAACGTCTCATAAAATTCACAAGCTTCTGATTGTTTTCTTTTAGTGTGCATGTTTTCTGATACGAGACTGAAATGTATAGACAGAACATCCCTGCCTGCAACTGACTGGGTTGACAAAAGCCTTCCATATCCTTGGGAAAATGTTTCCTTTAGAATGCATATGTTTTGGAGATATTTCCCATCTTGATGATTCTAGAAATGCAAACTGACAGCTGTTTTCAGAAAACTCGATTCTTCCTGTTGACGACAGTGAAGGGGCGTCAAGGCTGGGGTAGGCTGATGTCACTGGATGAGGGGGGTATTCCTAGGGCTGTTTGGAAGCCAAAGGGCCTTGGGTGTCAGACTGAGGTCTGAGAGAGAGGACACAATGCTATCGACCCCCTTAAAAATCCTCCCTTTTTCCCCAGCTTTTGCTTTTAGGGCAGAGCCATACCTCAAGTACCTTTATGTTTCTCTCCCTGCTCCATCCTTACTTCTGACCTCAGATCTTGACAATGTGGGCATATCATGGGCACCCCTGAAGAAATCCTTGCTGGATTGCAGATAATGCATTTTGTTTCATGATGAGGTGGTAGATTTGTTCCATATTGACCTGGCTATAGTGTTGAATAGCAAATGTTGTTTATTTAGAATCTGAAAATTGGGTGCTGCGCATGTCAGACATTTCTCTGTTTGTTTTTAAAAAAATGCCTTTCATTTAATATGCTAAGTCAGTTTAAAGAAAATCGTATTTTCCACTTGCAGTAAGCAATAGAATGCTGCCTTATTTTCACCTATTTTTTTTATAGGCCAGCTGCAAGCAGGGGCCAGATTAACGGATATTTCTCTTTAAGGATCGAGCCTTCCCGATAACTCTGTGTCCACTTTGGTAGGAGTCGGTGACTCTTCCTGGATCACTGACTGCAGACTCTGTCCAGCACCAGAGAGCATTGATGGTCTCCTGATGGTCAGAGTGGCCCTGGCCTGGCTCACCCACTGGCTTCCTAAAGGAAGCCCTGTTCACTGTTTGCCGGGCTATAATGGTGACTTTTTCCTGAGATTGACCTCCTCGAAGGGACAAGATCTTGACACCATGCTATTAACATGGAAAGACTATTTCTATATAGAGAATTGATGTATGTACACACACATACACATAATGTATGGATAAATATATATATTTTATATACATAAATATATAAGTAAACTATAATACATATACATATGTAATATATAATACATTAATATATGTGTATATACATGTATGTGTATATATATATATATACCACACATATATATGTGTGGTACATATATATGTGTGTATGTATATTTGTGTGTATATATAATACAAACATACATTTACATTATATATACATTCTCTCTCTCTCTCTCTGTCAAGATCACTATGGATAGTAGGACTACCACACACATTTTTGAGTCTTTCCTATAGGCTAGGACTTAGGACAGTACTTAGGACAGTACTTCCTGTCTCCAGGGAATTGAAATCTATTTGGAGAGAACAGACATGTACAGACTGAGATAACTGATGAATAATCATAGGAACTATGGAGGCAGATTTGTTGTGAAGCTGGTGAAGCTCGGGCCCAGGGCCCCTCACTTGTTTAATACATGTTTTACCATTTTTTTAATACTCTTTTAGGGCCTACCCTGCCGTTTCCAAGGTCCCAGAGGATCCCTGCCGGCATCCACAGCAGTGCATTCATGGGATCATAACTTGTAAAATTGAAAAAGTGAGATTACTAGCAGTCAGCTGATGTTTTCCTTTTTCTACTCTGACTTTCCCCTCTGTACCATTTCTCCTTGGGGTCAGTGACATTGGAGTTGAGAGTATTTTTGAGATATAACTAAGGGGAAGTGGATTGTGGACACCTTTAGTTTAAGTTCAGTGGGACATATTTATACAGTTTTCAGGTATCGCTGTGTCTAGTTAAGTTATTCCTAGCCCATCTTAATGTGGAATCACTTCCCAGGAACCATCTACTATGCCAGCTCACCTGGGATCCTTAGACTACTTGCTAGATGTGTAGAATTGTAAGCAGAGGATTCAGTTCTAAGTGTAGTTAATTTGGAACTTCCTTCTGTTAAGAATATACTCAATGTAAATATACATTTATAAATGCACCATTTTTTAATGAGAATTTTGTGTTTAAGTTTCTTGTTCATTTCACTCACATGCGCGCGCGCGCGCACACACACACACACACACACACACACACACACACACACAATATAGCAAGCTGGTTAGTGAATATCATCAACACAAAGAATATGTAAAGTTAGCCAAGGCACAAGAAAGCTTGTAATATCCTGAATTCTTATGGCTTATATATGAAAGAAAATTAATAGAGGTATTGACAACGATCCTAAAAATTTATAGGGCATTACCAATATGGAGCTGAGAGTCAGAAAGTAACTTTTCGGAATTATCAATAATGAAGTATAAATTTCGATCATCCACACTTGAGAAAGGACTGATTTTTCTTTCCACCATATAGAAAATATTAATATAAATCATTGTCATATGAGAAGTAATTAAAGAG